TGGTAAAGTAAGTTGAGGTGAATGTAAGGTGAGGTGTCAATTCTCTAAATTTCTCCTAAACTATACAGTATTTAGTTTGAAAGTATTTAGCCATCGACTAAATACCTTGGTACTTTAGTGAAAGTATTTTGCATCCCCAAGGTACCTGAGTACTTTGGACCAGAGTATTTAGCGCTCACTAAATACCTTCGTATTTGTACTTTGGTATTAGCAGCTCCTAAATACCTAAGTAAATAGTACTTGGGTATTTAGCAGCTCCTAAATACCTAAGTAAATAGTACTTGGGTATTTAGTCATCTCAAAATACTAAGTATTTGTGTATTTAGTACCCAAAGTGGTACTTTAAGTACAAAAGTATTTAGGTATGCCCATCACTGCTTGAAAAAGCATGGTGCATAGCCGAAGTCGACCATTATTTTACCTTTTCCTTTTTTATATCCACCGAAACATCGCCTAAGTGCGTCGCCAACTCAAAAATTCTGAAAGAGTTTCGGTTCACTACAAGCTTAAAAGCCAACATGGTAATAAAACTACATAGATATGTCAAGAAGGTGAAAAACGTCGGAAGGCATGCCGTCATCTCCGTTATACTCTAATTAAGAAGAAGGAAACAAGTCCTCCACGGACAGCTACTTAATTTTCGAGCAATTGGACTGCCATTGCGCTCGAAACTGCAGTAGAAGGAGTTACATTTGAATAGAACACACAAGCCCAGGCGGGACATAGGGCACCTACTACCGATTAGGGGATTCTTCGAATTCAAACGTCAATCGTCAAACGTTAACCTTTAAGAGAAACTGCTCCTTTGAGATTGTTTTACTAAAAATCGGAGTACCATTGTAAGACAGCTGTTTAAGAAAACATGCAGGCTCCTGGTTATTGCAGAAGTGAGTTTCCAAGTGGAACTGCCAAACAACAGTATCGAGAGCTCAGCTTGTTGTTTCGCAGCGGTCGATGTCTTCGTCAGCACCGCCATTGGGGGTAACTTCGTTGTCAATGTATGCAAAATTCCTCACCATCCCCCAATACTTCGCTGGCACACTTGGAACATTGGTCTTACTAAAGCTCATTCTTAAACCTTTCTCCTTAGGTTCTCTTCGTACCGTGTTGCCTATATAAGGCAGATCATAAAGCCGAGGCGCCGCGTCGTCTGCGTAGTCAATGTGCTGCACTGAACTGGACTTGAACCACCGAAGTCCACAGTCGGTAAGTGGTCTCATGACAGTATCTCACACATCTCTAAATACTAGATAAAAGAACGACAAGAGAACTCCGTTGTGAGTTGATACTCATCATTCAAGAGCTTATAGTATGAAGAAGCAACCGGAATGACACCGATACCTCTAATTCGAAAGACCTTAGGTTTGAGTAACATCCGAAACTTCCGGATTCCAAGGAAGAATTTGGGTTCCGGATGCAGTTGAACAATCAACGTCTAATAGAATATACGAGTTAGAGAGGCCTTGTACCGTATTTGTCCATGTGAATTTGCTGTACTAACAGAAATTGTTACTCTGGCAATGTCTTTAAGCCGCTGGGCCACCCTACCCTGTGTCACTCTGCTATAATTAAAAGCGAATTTAAATTTCGAATTTGTATGCATAATTAGTTGCTGTGTTATTTTATTCGATTCGAAACAAGTAATCGTTCGATCAGGGATATCGTGATTTTGGCCCTTATCTCGAAATCAATACTGTCCTAAGGCAGTTAGGCACTTTCTTTTGTAATACAACCTAACTTAATGGCTAACATATTCATTGAACGCAAGCAGCCTTATTAAAGGTCTCTAGGAGAGTGCGTTTCAGCCGCTTAGCCGCAAAAAATTCACAAACAGCACACAAAAATAGACGCAGTTTCTGTAGAGAAGATATCTCTATCCAACGCTTACCTATTCAAGATGAATTTAATAAACTTCAAATCCATCTAAATAATAAGTTTGTTGCTTCGGCTTTTTTGAAACCTTTAATCTCGGGGTTTATATCGTTAGACATCCCCAGATGACTTAAGTGAATGAGAAATTCATGGTTGTAGCGGCACTAAAATTGCCTTTCTCCTAGGTACATAACTTTAAAATTTACAGTATTTAAGTTTTTTCATTTCTCTACTCACATGATTCAAATGCCGTGTACCCCAGCCGCCGATGAAATCCAAAATCCCCGAACACAAAAATCGGAACGTAGACCCCACCGAGCACACATATTCACACAAAAGCTTCTGTACACTGGTAATTGGCAGTAGCTCCATACCGCCTAGCACCCAACTCAAGAAGGTTGGATAACCCAAAAAGAGTCCACCCAATTTGGAGAGCATAAACGAATGATAGCGCATAAAGGCGATAGGCGCCAGCAGATGCACTGTCTTCACCTTCTCATTGTACCAAGGCAGTGTGGACATGAGAACGAAGAATGTGGTTGTACCTTGTGAGTGCGCAACAAAATGCACAGCAGTTTCATTCGTTACAGCCAGCACATAATCCAGCATTGAAGCCAAATCGTAGATGCCGATTTCATGCCAACTGAAATTCCAAAAATCTGATGAATCTGGATGCTTGTATTTGTGTTGGCGTGAATAGGTATTCCCACGCGCATTGCCCAGCCACACATCATAACCCGAATCGGCGAACATATATGCCAGCGATGTATCTGGACCGTTGAGTATCCAATCGTCCGAGGCGCAAAGAATACCATGCTGAAGAAAGACGACCGGTTTGGAGGTGCGCGCAATAGCTGTAGAATTCGCTGTGCTACGCAACTTTGGCGAATCGGGTATTCGGTAAACTGTTAGTATGTAATCATCTGGTGTATGAACTATGTGTTCTTCGACTGGGTAATTGTGATTGGATATCATTTTGGGCTGAAAAAGAGGTGAAGAAAAAAATGAAAAGTATATTAGGATTGATTATAAAAAAGTAGTTGAAAATTACACACAATGTGCGAAAAGGTTTAAAGGCTATAAAAGGTAATAAACTCAGAAAAAGTGAGCCGAGGATTCCGCTCGAGGTGTAAACCCAAGCAAAACGGAACCTGTACTATTTACTAGAAAATACAAACAATATCAATGGTGGAAAGCTCAATAGCCTGTTATATTTCTAAAGAAGCGATCGGGCGGCCGCTGTGGTGTAGTGGTTAGAAGTGCGAACTACCATTTTGCAGGGCCTGGGATCGACACCAGTTTCAGACTAACATAAAAAAAAACGAAAAATAAAAAGTTTTTTCTAATAGCGGTCGTCCCTCGGCAGGCAATGGCAAACTTCTGAGTGAATTTATGCCATGAAAGACAACTTCCCATAAAAATACAATCGCCGTTCGGAGTCGGCGTAAAACTGTAGGTCCCTCCCCTATGTGTGTGTGCACCAATCTATTATTTTTAATCGGGCGTAATTGGATCATAGTCCCTAGTTGGTATATTACTGTTGTGATTAGGCGTATACTGTTATATGAAGAGGTAGTCCATTTAAGCTAAGAAATCAATCACTATTAAACTAAAATATGCGCAAATAAGCGCCAAAATTACCCAGCTATAGAGCGAATCATTTTGGTCACACTTACATTTTTAATAGACTTCGCCGGCCGGAAAATACGGCCTTCTGCATGGCAATCACATTAAATTCGATAAAGTGTATAAAGTATGAATCCCGAGCAGGGAAAAAAAGACCCAGGACGTTCTGGGACTCACCGACTAATCGGTTTTACTCTGATGGATTCATGTTGGACAAGATCGACGGAGGCGTGTCCTCGGACCAACTAGGTATACAAAAGTATTTCCGCTTCCTAGGACATTGCAGTGTCTTCCAAGCCGAACTCGCAAGTAAACAGGAATTCATTATTCACTGGTTATAGGTATCGGCACATACCAGGCAATGATATGGTGAACGAGCTTGCAAACAGGGGCACTAAAGTTGCGCGTGACGTTCGTTACTTGCGAGAGAGAGCCGGCAATAAGACAAAATTCTGTTAACCAGAATGGAACATGAAAAGATCGTAATAGCTCGGGTTGCTTTGTAGTGACTTCTGCAGAAGAAGAAGCTGCTACATGAAGAGGAGCATGAATCCCTATGGCATTGAGCGAATATTCCGCACTTTGGTGGTGGAGACCAAAGTTCGTGGGTGCTGGAAACTTTGGGAATTTGAGTTATACAGCGGGAATAGAGATACGCCGATTACTCTAGTTCTTTAAATCTATATTGAGCCCTAACCGCTAAAAAGACGTAAGCGACATTTTTTTCAAAGTTTTCTTTCTGATGCAGAAATGTTCATAGAGCATCTAAATCAGTGATTCCCAAAGTGGTCCAGGTGGACCACTAGGGGTCCACGGGAGACGCGACGGGGGTCCACGGGAGACTCGACGGTAGTCCACGGGAGACTCGACGGGGGTCGACGGGGGTCCACGGGAGACTCGACGAGGGTCTACGGGGGTCTACGTTGGTGTGAAAAAAATTTGGGGGTCCATGAGTTGTAAGTGGGTGTGCACGAAAATTTATCTGGTTTCGATAGTGAAGAACCAAAATGGTTGCTTGATAAATAGCCTCTTTATTTAACTTTAATTTTTTTGAGTGGTGTATAGTGCTCTTGACGCACTGCTGCAGTTACCGTCACTTTGTGTTTTCATAGGTGGGGAAGCCTTAAAGGCCACCTGCAGACTAAAAATAACCGGATATTGGTATAACACTGAGTGGACGCGGCGGAAATTGCTGGCGGCAGAGATTTAAGCACTTGTCTCTTTTCAATCCTACAGTATAGTACGCCACCATTACCTTTGTTGAAGAGATTCTATGATTATGAGTTTCTTGAGACTGAATGCTGGTTTAATTCCATTACTGAGACCAGACTCAACATCGTAGAACCTTCACTGATGGCTCCAAAACTGACTCTGGGTCATGATTTGGGGTCTTTTTCGAAGTTAATGGGGATAAGCTTCACTTTTATGTTTGGGGATAATATGCTTCGGTCATCTAGGCTGAGGTAATTACAATACTCAAAGCCATGGACTACGTGGTGCAACATAGGTGGAGGGGAAGGAGTTTATATGTCTGCAGTGACAACCAAGGTCCACTTAAGGCACTGACCAGCCCTCTATTTAAGTACTTCCACACTAGTTCGGCAATGCAAGTTTCGACTAAAATATGATGGTGAACATAACGAGGTTGTATCACTCTGGGTGCCAGGTCACTCTGGAGTACCTGGTTATGAGACATCTGACCATTTGGCCAGACCAAGCATTCCTCGGTCCGCGACCAGTTTTAGCACTCCCACCTTCGGCCATCGATGTCGCCATCAGAAAAATATTAGAATAAAAATGGTTGCATATATTGTGAAAAGTTTGCTGTGCCAATACTTTGTTTCGGCAGTGTACACCAAAGGACCAGTGCTTCTTTGCTCATTCCTAAGAGAGCTTTCGTCTAAGTGGGTCGTAGCACAAAAAGAATTGCCGGGTAATGCTGTACGGTTCCACATCTGCTTAGCCTTGGAGTGATAAATTTCGGTAATTGTTGCTTTTATCTCCCTGAGCGAAGCGCCCATGTCCACCGCGTGGAACACATTCAGTGCGGAGCCGCAACTTGCTAGTTCGTCCGCTGCCACGTTTCCGTAAATGTCCCTATGACCCAGGAACCATATTAGGGTAATTTCGTATTGATCAGAAATATGTATAGGCCAGCTCGCTCCTACAGTCTTCCACTAGTTGAGATCTAACAGAGGTAGAAGAGAGTACCTCCATGGCCGCTTGGCTATCCGAGAAGATATTCAGATGAATATTTAAGAAAAAATTATATGGATTTTTTTTGGCAAGAGATTTCGCCCTAAATTTAAATGGTTGTAAATGAGAAAAAGCAAAAATATTCAAAAACCACATTTATTGTAAAATACTTATGCGCAATAAATATGCAGAAATAGGTATTTTTTGCAAAATATGCAAAGTCATTCATTTTCTGCAAAATATACACTAACGATTGAATGCCATTTCAAAGAAAATTTCATGATTCGTAAAGATAACTTAACCATTTCGATTTTAACATGCCCAATAAAAACATGCATTTCCATGAGATTCCGAGCCCTGGTCATGAGGGATCGAGAGAGTATTTTGATGGATTTACGAACTCTATTTTTTGAAACCTGCAAGTGTGTAATCACATTATTTTTATAAATAGAACATAAGAAAATATTTTAGTTTTATTTTGGCCAATCCGAGTTTAGTTTTTGAATTCTCCCGCGATGCAAATTTACATAGTTAGATCTAATCTTCCCATTTGATTTTTTTATGAGCTTTGGGAATATTTATAAATGTATCAGCAGGGGGTCTACCGAAACCAGTAAATTTTTGAAAGAGGTCTACGAGAATCTCTAATCTAAATGCATTTCTGCATCAAAAATTAAATTGTGAAAATAATGTCGCTTACGTTTTTTTGGCGATTAGCTCTCGATATGTTGATTTGAATGGGCTACATAACTGCATACCCGAAAATTTTCTAAATATTCTGATTAAAAATTTGGAAATTTCGATGGCAATTTTTTGAAATTTGATAAATTTTTTTGCAAAATTCGCAAGCAAGTGGTTTCAGTTACAGATTGAATTATATTTTAAATGATAATTATTAATATAAAAAAAATAAATAAACATAATTTGCAAACAATATCATTTTGAATTTTGGTTCTAATTAGTTGAACGCAGGTGTATGTACTTACATATGTATGTATGTATGTTTGACATGAACTTGAAGAGAACGAATTAATTTTCATATTGATGCGATCCAGGTACATTTGTATGTATGTAGTGCTTATTAAGGCATTGGTATTTTTTCTAGACCCTTCGCTGCACCCCAAAATGCGATATAAGTATGTATGTATATTTAAAGTATCTCATGTATGTACCCAGCACGGCATAGCTACCAACTACCTCAGAAAAAATAATTTATTTCTGCTTACGTAGCAACTAACTTCAAATTGATGTATAATCATCTAGCAGCCTCCATGCGATAAACCAAATGCTTACACTTTTGATACATTTGCATACATTTACATATTTCAATATTGGTTGAAAAATCATCTAACTTTGGGCAATTAACTATTTCAGCATTTAATAGTAAGTAATTTGAATTGGTTGAAAAGACATCTGCAAAAGAAACATACTGACTTTGAAGTGATTTAAGCCAAATATGTACATCTTAAAGTAGTTGAAATCAAATTCAAATTCGGATAATTGACTGCTTCCTACGACATCGCCATGTTAAAGTATACAGTTCGTTCCAAGGAAGAAAGTCAGATCTTCAAATTCAAATTCGGATAATTGACTGCTTCCTACGACATCGCCATGTTAAAGTATACAGTTCGTTCCAAGGAAGAAAGTCAGATCTTCAATTTGTTGTGGTCGGTAAAAAACTGGTTGAACATCAATAAACTAGTTTCTGTTCGTACTGGGTATCTATTCTAGTGGCGCTCCCAAAACATAAAAACACAAGCACATCATATGTCATCTATGTATGTATATTTGAAGGTCTGTTTCTGGACGAGCCCCCTAAAAGCAACCAATAATTACCCAGCTGCGCAGTCAAACGGAAATGTGATAATTTAATGCTATTTTGTTCAATTTTTTGCTCTTTTTTCGACTGCCAGCTGGTCACAACACTTTCCTTAACGTATTTACGTATGTATGTACATGCATTAGACTGTGTCAAGCGACTATTTTTTTTCTTTCGGTCCCATATGAAAATTTTGTTGTCGGCCATAAAAAAAAAACTGGCAAAATTTCAGCCCTTTATCTTCATTTTCAGTTAACGGAAATAAGATTTTTCAATGTAAAAAAATTTTTTTTTAATAAATATGTATAACAAATATTAAGTAATTAAGTATAATTTTGGGCGAAACCGAACTTTATACATCGGGCGCACGTATTAAATATAGTTCTTTTACCTTTCTGTAAACTACATGAAAAGCTGGGCATGAATCACGTAACTTTAAAACGATAGTCGTTCAAACGATTCTGACAAAACGATTTTGTCAAAACACTGATTCATGTATTTGTGTTGCTGTTACGTGTTACTGTAACTGTTACGTGATTTGAGTTGACGATATCGCACAATCTCAGCAGGATATTGTCGAGGCGATTATTCATACCCTGGGGTTTTCCCCAGATTTAGATTTTTCTTGATAATATGCTCACAATTAGACTTAACGAAATATTTAATTTAACTGGGCTTGGTAGAAAGCGATAAAGCGTTTACCGATATGAACTTACATACACATGTAGTCATAAGTGGGCGGCGTAGTGCCCATTTTCCGAAATTCCATAATAGTCTTGCATATTTCTTGTTAAGATATTGTTGTAAGTATTAATTTAAAATTAGCATCCTTATTCATTATTGCAATATGTATAGGAGTTTACGTATTTCTGCAAGTGTCGTTATCTCGTTTTCCAAAATGTTCAACATATTAGTTTTCTGTACCAAGGGCAATAACTCCACCGAGTTTCGTAGATATTGATAAATCGGTTAACGAGATGTACTTATGTGTCAGAAGCGCACGGTACCACGCCCATTTTCCAAAATTTGCAATAATCTGATTGGTTTTTGTTTTTTTTTTTGTGATACATACAAAAAAAATTCCGAAGAATTGATAACTTGCTCCATTTTTTGAAGTCGGTTAAATAAAGTCGTTTTATTTGACACAGTCTAATGTACATCTATCTATATATATGTAGTATGCACATGCGCATGTGTGTTTGTACTATCTATTTCAAATTTTAAACATTCATTTATGTAAATAATGAAATGCATTTTTTTTTTGCTGGCATGCAACTTACCGTCACTTTAAGCGCTTCCGCACGCTTGAACTGCATATCGAAGAGCATCAGCAGCATCGTAAGATATGTTAGCCAGTTTAAATTTTGTGTTACGTAGTTGTTGTTATTGTTTTGTTTGGCAAGCAAACGTTGCAGCACGCTATCTGATGGCGACATCATCACACTATTTTATTAAAGCGTGTTTTTTGTTTTTTTTGGTAGGTGTAAATTAATAAAATACAAAAAAAATATTGCGCGTAGCTTGTAACAATTACAAATTACTCCACACTTGGCAAAGCGTAACTGTAAATGTTCATAAAAATGTTTACGATTTTTTGTTGTTTCTTGTTTTTTTTTTGCAGCCTTTGCAAACTGTTTTTTTTTTAATTTTTTTATCTCTCAATTTTTGCAATTTTTTCGCATTAGCTCACTCTTCGTTTATTACTTTATTTTGTAACGTGGTGCGTGTTTATTTTTTTCATCCACTAAATTCCTGTAATAAATGTAGTCTACCAAAATAACTTGAATTTGCACAAAATGTTTTTTTTTTCGATTTCAATTTATTTATTTTATTTAGTGTTTTTGTCATTCACGTTTTCATATTTTTGCGCGGCGCTATGCGTGTTGATAGCGGTATTTCTCGTAATATGCTGGCGAGTTTTTCTTGTTTGTCGTTGTTTTTTCTTTTCTTCCACTGATCAGCTGTTGAAGCCGCGGTTGCCTAGCTGTTCGCAGTTGTGAGTCAAGAGTCAGTCATACGTTCGATTGATTAATTTTTTATGGCTGGCGAGGTTGCTGGTGCGTGTGCCGGTGTTTCCTTGGTATTCGTTGCGTAGCTCGTACTGTTTAAGGAATGACCTGTTCGATGACAGTTTTGTTTTTAAATTCTGTTTTGTGTATTACGATTTTTTAGTTTAGATTCCCATTTTACTAGCTATTTTATAAATAATATATTGGTGCATTTATCGCAAAACTTTTCGTTAGTTAGCCTTTGCGTTCAAAATTTGGCTCCTCGGGTTTCCAAGTACATATTTCGCTAAACTTAAGCAGGGAGTCTTTTAGTACCTTCGCTCAGCTTAAATCCTTCTAATCTCTCCAGCCGTTATCGATTTGATTGTCTTGGGTCTCGCCTTTGTACAGCTACCTTGGCCCACAGCCCTTTAAACTTCAACACCGAAGTGCTCTAAATGCCGCACAGCTTGTTGATTTCGCAATCGCCAATTCCAATATACTTACGTACATATATATTCCTTAGTTGGCCTGCCTGAGCAGCTGACCTAAATACTGTACCGATACTTTGTTAAATCCAGTTCGTATCGGCGGTTGACGACGACAAAGACTACTTAAACGATTTTATTTATTTTAAACATCAATTGGTTTAACATCACTTTAGCGCTTGCCGTGTTTTGTGACTATCTGGCACGGCCGGACTTGTTCGACTGTTGCGTGCTAATAGCTGGTATAGTTGCTTTAGCTACGTCAGCGAACCTGCTAGCAGCGCCGGCGATCATTCTCACACATTCGGAGACTTCGTTGTTACTACGTATTTATGTATGTATGTATGTATTTCTATTGTTTATGCGTCCCTTTATTTTTATGTGTTTTGTTTATTTCTAGTATTTTTAGTTTTTAGTGTTTTTTGAATTGTGTTATGTTTTGAATAATTTGATTGCTTTGTTTTTATACAGACATCTTAACTTTCTGAAGAGCTTGGACTTTCTTCTGCTTTTATTGATGTTCGTTGTTTTTGTTTTATTGCTAATATTATATTTTTATGTTGTTGCTCAGCAGTTTAGTTTTATTATTTTATATTTTTAAATTATTTACCACTAAGAGTTTCGCTTTTTTTCGTTATTGATTCGTTATTATTTCTACATATAATTGATTTATTTTCGAACAGTTCGATTGTGTTATTGCTGTCAGTCTAAACAGCGCTTAAATAGATGTTTGTTTTGATTTGTTGTATCAGTTGCGCGCAGAAAAATAGCAGTGACTCAACAAGTGTGGAGAGGAAATAATTACACAGGTCCACAAAAAAAATCGATGAAAGGTTCCTTTGACCAAACCTAGTGTTTTTGGGGTCGCTGAACACGAATCTGAAGTCCGTTTTGCTCCATAACGTCTAGATTTTTTCCTAACCTCAATAAACACCTTGGATTACAGGTTAGGAGAAAATCTAGACGTGATGGAGCAAACCGGACTTCAGATTCGTATTCAGCGAGCCCAAAAGCACATCGTCGTTTAAAGTACAAAACCGCGTATCAACAAAATGCAAAACCGCGTATCAAGATAATGCAAAACCGTGTATGTGAATTATGTAAATTATCTTCTACAGAGTAAAAGCACTCATATTTCAAAATGGCCAGTATATTTCAGGACGAATGGATAAGGATTGAGCCAAGAGCTTGTGTGAGCAAATCCAATTCTCGGCAGCTAATGTCAGTTACGCGGTTTTGCAGAATGACTATACGCGGTTTTGTAGTTTAAACGACGATATACTAGGTTTGGTCAAAGGAACCTTTCATCGATTTTTTTTGTGGACCTGTGTTATCTATCGACGGTAAGTTGCGCTTTTAGAGCTTTTCGGATTAAACTATTCATGGGAGTTTCAGAATAGCTGAAATTAACGATGGCCCCAGGCTACTTCATTTCAACTGGTCGATAGCCATCAATCTAATCTATCTTGAAGGCCGTTGGAAAGCCTAGGGGACCTCGATGAACAAACCTTACTCTGTACTAACTTAGCGCGGTTAGACCAACTGTTCTATCTCAGATTTGTCAGACGAACTATCCTAACTAAGGCTCACTTATTTTTTTGTATTACCTGCAAAGCTTAACAGCTTAACATACGCGTCTGTGTTGAGAAAATAATGACTTGTGGGCGGCTCGACCAGTAATGGTAGGGTTCTTCGATCAAAACAAGATGAGATCGCAAAAGAACCTAAATTCAAATCGAGTCACCGTGCTCCAGACTGCAACGGGATGCCTTTTGATGTTGCCTGACGACCACCTGACCACCTAGCAAGGCCTCAATGCTCCCAGTCGGAGAGCACAATTTAATACTCAGCAAGCAGCAGCCGGCCGCTGTATCCCAGTGGCTAAATATCCATAATACCACTCTGCAGGCCCTGGACCCGATAACTGATCCGAGCAACATCTAAAATAAGAATTTATTTTCCAAAGGCGCTCGGAACCAAAACCTCCTCCTCCGAGATCCAGACATACGTAACACTAAGACTGCCCCCGAAGGAGTACCTACAAGTGATAAATGACATTCAGAGAGAGTCCATTAGCATCTGCAGTGACAACGCCCAATGAATATGATAATTGGAGCCCAATCATCACCCATTTAAGACGACGTAACTGTGTAATTATGGCACAGTTCAGATTTGGATTCCGCAGTTGACTGAACTCGTATCCCTACAAACTCGACCTCGACATACCAAATATGCAGACATGTACTACATATATGTCCGGCTTGTGAGGCTTCCCCCAAACATCAGCCATCTCATCCCCAGCACACTCAAACCCACTCAGCTAATACCACACTTGATCCCACGCCGTAGAAACAATAATAATCCTGAGCCTACAGTTAGTTCAGCTTGATGAAAAAGATTGCTAGACTAGCCAATTTAGGCTGGGCTTAGTAGAGCCATTACAACCACAACAACAATAACCAGGAATGATGGTGAACGCAGATAAAATCGACAAGATACTCCTCTCCCACGAAGATACCATAAAAAATCTTGGCTACACTGAATTGGGAGTTAAATACGATTACCGCAAATTTACTTCCAGTGCTGTTTGTGAGTTGGCTAGTCATGTAAACACTTCTCTACTCTAGGAGGGAACGTAGTTTCGGATAACAAGACGGGACGGCATGTAGGGATGACGCCTGGCCCCGGAATTACCAATAAAATTTTAGATTAATAGCTAATTGGGTGGTTGCCACTGTGCATAAAAACAGGGAGTCACTTCTAAGCCAATTAGGTTCTGGATCCGCCAGCTTTTGCGGTTTATTAAAGCAAGTTACTTTAGACATCCACATCTGAAAGAAAACTGTTGCCTAAACCCCTCTCCTTTTTTTAAATACCATCAGGACTAGATCAAGCTGTCATATGACCCATAACGATGATCAGCCTAGCTGGATCTTTTTAAGACCAAACCGCGAGCGGAAGGCTCTGGATAACGCGAGACTTCCAAAGTTCTGAGCATTACCCGGTTTCAGCGTATGTCTACCGGTGACGAGGACCTGTACGGTTTCACATCCGCTCTTGACTGCAATTCTGGCGAGGAGTCTGATTTCAAAAAGGAACACTGGACTAACGGAATTTTCATATGTCCAAGCGTTGTCCATAGCATAATGCGCACCGTAAAGGATGATAGAAAAAATGCAGTCGAATTTCTTTGAAGCCAATAAGTTCGCCATATTTTTCATGTGAAAATGTTTGATGCTTGAATAGCCTAACAGCTTTGATTTTTGAAACCCTTTACAATGATTTCAATGCTACACTCCTCCATTGTAAAAAGCGTTGGTGTTTACCTCAACTCATAAGGGATCGAAATTGGCTTTAGTTGCCAAACCATTTCATTCTTATAAACACAGTTCTACAGTTCTAAATTATAAGCAAAGTACATACACTTTTTTAACTAGGTACTTCTCTTCTGCTATTTAATTGCATGCAGGTTTGAATTTTTTAATTTTGGTTGACCGTTGTTCATACAATAAATTCCAACAATCAGCTGTTGCTCAGCAGTGTTGATTGTGAGTTGACTGCTCAAGTAAACATTTCTCTACTCTCATCTCTTTGACCAACTCCCACTAACTACTCTTTGCACTGAAGTGGGTGTGTATGCTACGTTTATGCGTTCGTTGTAATTTTATTTAGATCTTTCGATTACACTTGTGCCTAGTGTTTACTCGGATTCGTTGTTATATTTATCGCGTATTGTACATATGATGGACGTATGTATGTGTGAACGTGTTTACATGTGTACATACTTAAATATCGCACACGATCTTCAAAAGTGACACAACTCAAAATTACACGTTCGTCAGAAAATGCGAAAAACTATTTCTTAGCACATGCTAATCATATGGGCAAAGGGGATTTTACCTTAGGTTTTTTTTTTAACATATTATAACAAAAATTTGTTGGAAGGTAAATAAAAGCTCTGCGTACATTTTTAGTACATTATTTCAAAAATGCCAAATTTTGAGTTGTGTCACTTTTGAAGATCGTGTGCGAAATATTTATGTAGTATGGCTTCCTATATTTTACATTTTTTATCACATTATTATTTTTTGTTGCGAAATATTCAGCCAACGCATTCCCAATCGCTCATTTAAAGTATTTTTGTGTTATTGTTTTGCCAACGTA